ACTCGCGCCGCTCCTCGACGTCGTTTTGCAAGGAAATTGATTCTGCGCGAAGCGTCAGCCCCACCAGGGGAGGGTGTAGGAGGAGGGAGCGCCGACAGAAGAGAACCCGGCACCGCAGACCGCGTACACACCGCACCGGGGTTAGAGGTATCTCGCGTTCACGCTGCCCTCAGGCGCACACCGTCCGTCGAGCGAGCGAACGTCGTTTACTATTATGTAAGGGGCATGTCGTCGGGCAGCAGCGTCGACGTGGACACGCAGCCGGACCGCTGAACGGGTTCCCCAGCCGAACTGGAACGGCGACATGCCAACAGACGCGTCGCGTCGGCCGCGTTACGACCACACACAGCCGTCGCACCACGTACCGAAGGACACCACGCACACACTCTAAGGAACGCGTGTACACGCCGCGACAGGATCATCGATGGAACTGAAAATCCTGCTGCTCGTTCACGTCCTGGGTGAGTTAAACTCCCCGTTTACAAACGCGCCTACGGCTTCCGAGGGACGTTGCCCCGACGTGTCGTGTCCTGTACCGATTAAACCCCCTCGTGGATACCGCCTCTTTCGAATTTCCCTCGGACATTATACACCCTACTGCACAACTTTTTACTCATTCCTCCACAACTCTATCCGCTCTGTTTCCACGTCCCTTGCAAGTGTACACATTTCGTCCTTTAACGTCCTCTGAGTCCTTTGAAAAACTTGCGGTGGGTCTTTGCGAATGGTAGAACAGTGAACCTCCTTTAATGCCTTAACTGTGGTTGAAACGTCCCTAACAAGCGGGTCTTCGTGGTAAAACAGTGTACTCTTCCCCATCCCTCCACCGTGTTTAAAAACTCCCTCAGAAAATCTGTGATACAGTGTGTTGTCCAGTTTTCGCCCTCCTCGTCCTTGTGTTTTAAAACATTTTGTGGATCCTTCACAATTTTTTGAATTTCCTCGACACCCCGAGTAAAACATTTTTCAGAGCGCTCCACAGTAATAAAATTGTGTTGTACACGAGTATTTTGGATTTCTACCCTCGTCCTGCGGCACTTCCGGTCCCGACCGTGCTTTAAAACGCATTTGTCGTAGCGATCTGGGGGTTGTAACTGAGCGATGCGTTGTGCACGTCAGGTTTTCTGTTTTCGTCCGACAATCGGTCCTTTGATACCTCGGTCCCGAACGCGTTCTAAAACACATTCCACGGAAGCGGTGACCTTCGGGTTTTTCGATTTCAGCATGTTCGGAAGGGATGACTGAAATTGTAAGTGGACAATATTCTTGCAAGGTTTTTGCTTCGTGTGCTATAAAACACGTCGGAAGCGATCTTCAGTATCGTACACTTTTTATCTTAACATTTTCTCCCTGGGTCATAAAACGTATTCCATGGAAACGATCTCTTGAAACGTTCTCCAACATGTTCAGTGTATTAAAACACAAAAATGGTGCAGTCGAAGAAAGTAATTTAATAATTAGTACACGTTTGACTTTTACTCGAAATTCTGTAATAGTAACAGTAGTGTGTGAGCGCTGTGAAGAGTACAATAGGTGAGAAGACCACAGGTGATCTGTGACAGGTGATAAAGTCATTGGGACGTAAACGGAGAGGCAAGATGGTGACGAAGACGTAACGCGTTGAAGGCGGCGCGAAGATGTAACGTTATTTGCTGTCTCGGTATATTGCAACGGTGGTGCAGCAACTATCGAGTGTGTTAATAGCGCAAGATTCGAGCGAAGCGGAGAACGGAAGGATCCACGAGATCAGAGGCATGAATTTTAAGTACGATTTCGCGCACCAGTGACGCGGGGGTTGTTTAGTGAAAAGAGCGTGCGGCCGGCTCTTTGAGGGGATTGAAACACGGGTTAATTTCCAGTGTGCACGTCGTCGGTACTGTTTTTTTCCCCCTTCAGCTCTTCAACTCTTCATTCAGAGTGCGCGGAAGATCGTCGCTGCGACGGTTTGCATTTTTTATCCGCGGACGTATTAGGAGTCACGGGACTGGCCGGCGTTAAAACGACACAGGGAAGTTTCCGAGGACGCGATTGTCGTGACGTACGTGCTCGGAAATTCCGATGGACAGCGGCTCGAAATCCGATCATTTTTTTTCCTCGTCGGGTTCGATTCAAATGAACGCACGAAAGAGGGGCGGAAAAATGTCCAACGTTTCCGCGAAATTTTGTAATTTCGCCTCGCTTCACGTGCCGCGACCGGGTGTGTATCGACCGACTCTTTGTTTAGGGGGAGGAAAGCTAAAAAAAAATTGCAACGGGGGCAGGGTGGAAACGGGTGAAAGAGGAACGAAAAAAAAAAAAAGAGAGAAAGAACCGTACGCGTGTAAAAAACACGCGGATCGAGGGACGAAAGAGGGTGGAGAACTGCGGAAAGTCGGATGTCGAGATCGTTTTCCATGATACGGCGGTGAATCGTCAACGAGCGGTTAAAATATTTGTCCTAGCAACTATTTATTCGGCGATACGAATTGAACAGCTCGATTGGCGAACACGTTTGCGAACGAATATCCTGTCGACAAACAACGATATCGAGCGACGAGGAAAAAATTACTTCACGCTTTTCCACCGAACGTGAAAACATCGGGGCGGCGTTCGAGGGGGTTGAAAATAGTGCACCGAAGATGGAACGAGAGGGAAGGGGGTCAGAATGGTGTATAAACAGAGGGACAAAGACACAACGAGGCGAGCGGAATCGAGAGGATTCTTATCCATCGGAGCATTGAACTCGCTAGGGGTTGATTCGCCAGACGAGACGCTGCTGCTGGCACCGCCGGGGGTCACTGCACCACCGATCGCGGCTCGTAAAACGCGGACAAGCGTTACCCGTAATGGAAATTTAATGAATTTGACGAATAATTGTGTCAATGGATAATTACGTTAACGCTGCCTCGAGCACCCGCGACGCTGCAACAAATCCCCGTTTTGACCCTGTTCCCCGTCTTCTCCCTTATTTCATTGCCACTTGATCGAATTTTTCGCCGGTTTTTTTCTTTCCGCCCCGGGGCCGCCAACCAAGGAAACTCGACGCGGAAAAACCGTATCAGCCGGCTCGCCTAATCGAATCTATTCCGGTTTTACGAGTTCGCACCAACGCTCAAACTCATCTAGGGGCTGAACGTGGAGCAGCCACTTTAGAGATGAATTCGTTCGGGTACAGCTAGAATTCTGTTTATCCGAGGGTGTTGCCGAATATATCTTTGTGCGAAGTTTCATTATGTTACGTCATTTGAAAGTCGGTGAAAATAATTGTGAAACGGCATACTTTAATTCGAAAATTACGAGGTAGGGTTAAGGGAGTTTTACGACATCCAGTTTTATTACCATTCTAATAAAACTTTTATGTTCCATGTGTATTATATCATAAAATATGTTATAGAATATAACGTATGTGATATCGTATACATATTATAATATGTCGAACGTCATTTATGTATTTATGTATGTGTAGAACGTCATCTATTCTATAATATAATGAGGACGTTATATTCGTGTGAAATGTGTACCTACTAATTTTCATGTAATATATTTGCACGCGTCGTATTCCCACGTGGCTGCATTTCCATTGGCTGTACAAATCGTTACATTTCGACACATTGGATTTCTACACGTATCGTATGTCGTGTTTTTCACATATTGTATTTCGCTGTGACATACTGTCCATTACTACACAATTAGTTGACTGCTGTGCTAAAAACATTCTAACCTAATACGACACTTGATAATTAATTACAAGCCCGGACACTTAATCTTTCAATGTCATCTTATAATTTATCACTCTGTGTCTTTGTTCCGATATTAAAGCACTAATGCGTTTACTTTTTCTGCTCGTTTTTTAAATATTCAATTTGAACGACGATACAGATGCATTTGTTAAGAATTTAATTGTTCCGTATCTGAATTTAATTAGAAACTTATCAAGCACATTTAATTTGAAGTTAATTACATTAATTATATCAACTAGATTAACTACGTTAATTGCATTTGAAATTACATTAATTCTTTATCGAGAAAGAAAATCATTAAGGACGACATAAAAGCATCCTAAAAAATTTTGTAATTTAAAACAAAGATTCTCCCAATAAATCAAATGACAGGTTTGTGTAAAATGTTCTATTTGGTATACAATTCTATTTTGACATCACACGATTAATTTAACATAAACAAAAAGTTAAAAATAATTATTTTTCTCTTGAATTATATGATTATATGAAACTCCGGTTACGAATAATCCTCGTAACATTCATCCTGTTAACACGTTAAAATACCGCAGTGAAAACGGACGTATGTGGTACGACACGCTATATGTAGTTGTAATTATTCAACAGACAATCAGGCCCAGTATGCTCCGTTGAGTTAGCATAATAATGTACGTTATCCCAAAAGTTCCACGATATAAATATAAATTTTCTACAAAATTCCTGAGTAACAAGGGAATAAATCTCCCTACCATTTTTTTTCACAGAGGAGTTAAATATTAAGTTGCAATTCATCAAATGTCAAAGTCTGAGGTATCAAGTGTCCGCTGCAATTTCTCTATATAACAGTGTTATCAAGTAGTATGTGCGATGTATCAATTTCAAGATTAAAGTTTACGGAAGATAACTACGTAAACTTTTCATAAACGTCGCTCGTACGAAGCGACTGGTTGTCGGGATATCGTTCATCAATTATTCTGCACAATGCGGAGTTAGGTTATACAATCGACAGTTTTATTGCGGGAGCTCTTCTGGATTATTTTTGCACTTTTGGAGAAGGTTATGGGTCGATTATTTGGGACTTTTTGGAATTTTGAGGATTTGGGGAATTTGGGGATTTGAGAATTTGAGGACTAGGGAATGTGGGAACTAGGGAATGTGGGAACTAGGGAATGTGGGAACTAGGGAATGTGGGAATTAGGGAATTTGGGGACGTAGGAATTTGAGGATTTGGAGATTTGAAAATTTGAGGATTTAGAAATTAGAATAGAATTTTGGGACTAGGAAATTTGGAAGCTTGGGAATTTGGAAATTAGGGCATTTTGAAACTAGGGAATTTGGAAATTAGGGAACTTTGGAACTAGGGAATTTTGGAACTAGGGTATTTGGGAACTACGGAATTTGGAAACTCGGGAATTTGAGAACTTGAGAATTTGGAAATTAGGGAATTTTGGAATTAGAGAATTTGGAAATTAGGGAATTTAGGAACTAGGGAATTTGGGAACTCGAGAATATGGAAATTAGGGAATTTTGGAACTAGGGAATTTGGAAATTAGGGAATTT